GCTGTTTTGTACAGTTCTTCTCTGTATTCTTGCCACCTTTTCTTAATCTCCCCTGCTTCTTTTAGGTCCTTGCCATTTTTGTCCTTTATTGTGCCTATCTTTGTATAAAATGTTCCCTTAGTATCTCCAATTTCCTTAAAGAGATCTCTAGTCTTTCCCATTCTTTTGTTCCCCTCTATTTCTTTGCATTCTTCACTTAAGAAGGTTTTCTTTCCTGTCTTTTCTGTTCTCTGGAACTCTGCATTCAGATGGTTATATTTTTTTCTTTCTTCTTTGGTTTTCACTTCTCTTCTTTTCTCAGCCATCTGTAAGGCCTCTTTAGACAACCTGTTTGCCTTCTTCTATTTCTTTTTCTTGAGGATGGTTTTTTTGGTCATCACCTCCTGTACAATGCTACAAACCTCCGTCCATAGTTCTTCAGGCACTCTCTAACAGATGTAGTCCCTTGAATCTATTTGTCACTTCCACTGTATAGTCATAAGGGATTTGATTTAGGTCATACCTGAATGGTCCAGTGGTTTTCCCTACTTTCTTCAATTTAAGTCTGAATTTGGCAATAAGGAGTTCATGCTATGAGCCACCGTCAGCTCCCGGTCTTGTTTCTGCTGACTGTATAGAGCTTCTACATCTTCAACTGCAAAGAATATAATCAATCTGATTTTGGTATTGACCATCTGGGAATGTCCATGTGTAGAGTAATCTTTTCTGTTGTTGGAAGAGGGTGTTTGCTATGACCAGTGTGTTCTCTTGTCAAAACTCTCTTAGCCTTTGCCCTGCTTCATTCTGTACTCCACAGCCAAATTTGCCTGTTACTCCAGGTGTTTCTTGACTTCCTACGTTTGCATTCCCATCCCCTATGAGGAAAAGGACACTTTATTTTTGGTGTTACTTCTAGGAGGTCTTTGTTTTTAGGTCATCATAGAATCATTCAAGTGTAGCTTCTTCAGCATTAGCGGTTGGAAAGAAACTTGATTTACTGTGATATTTAGCGGTTTGCCTTGGAAACAAACCGAGATCATTCTGTCATTTTTGAAATTGCACCCAAGTACTGCATTTTGTACTTGTTTTTTGGCTGTGAGGGCTGCTCCATTTCTTCTAAGGGATTATTGCCCACAGTAGTTGATGTAATAATGATCAGTGTTCACTCTTGCCATCTGTTTTGCGACATCCAATTTACCTTGTTTCGTGGACATAACATTCCAGGTCCTATGCAATATTGTTCTTGCAGCATCAGACTTTAGTTTTACCAGATACAGCCACAGTGGATGTCATTTCCACTGTGGCTCAGTCCCTTCATTCTTTCTGTAGGTATCTCTCCACTCTCACCCAGTAAATAATACTGGGCACCTACTGACCTGGGGAGTTCATCTTTCAGTGTCATGTCTTTCTGCCTTTTCATACTGTTCCGGGGGTTCTTGAGGTAAGAATACTGACATGGTTTTCCATTGCCTTCTCCCATGGACCACGTTTTATCAGAACTCTCCACCAGAACCCTCCACTTCTCCAGTGAACCAAAAACAAAAACAAATGACAGTTTTTATACTAACTCTTTGTTGTAGTGGGGAAAACTGTTGTATTTGTGAGAGTTTGATACTTTTACTCCAGCCTTATCCATTAAAAATAATATTATGAATGAAATTGTAGAGCTGAAAGGCAACTTTTATAAATTATATTAACATTCTTAGTTTATAAGAAAGTTGAGACTGAAAGCTTCTGACTCAAGCATGAAAAAATAACTTCTGAACTGAGATTGCAAATAGGGTTCTTTGTATTTTTTAAGACAGATTTTGCAGTATCTACTAACTCTTAAGTCCATTAAAATGTATATTTAATATTTTTAAATTGGAAGATAAATTTAGAATTTCCTTTTCCTGTCCAGTTCCACATTCTCATTTTACTTGTATGCATCTGAGGTCTGATATCTTGCCCAAGACAACGTCACTAGTTAAAGACCAGTCTTAGTATTATTTTTTAGCAGGTCATTCACACATGTTAGTGGCCATGGGTCAAGTTAGTGATCAGAGTCATTTTTTTGAGGAACAATATTTCAAAACAGTTGTATGTTTTCTTTTATAAAGGCATCAAACAGCAGACTCTGTTCGTGTCAGTCAGTTTTTAAAGTGCCAGGAACCATTCTTTTGGTTTGCATGTTGAAGAGGTCTGTGTAGCATTTGAACCTATTGTAGGAGTAATCATGTGAATGCCAGGCTTCTATATTTGAGTAGCTCTATATTTCCAGGGGCAAGATAGTTTTTGCTTCAGTATATTGTGTGTGTTAGTGTTTGTGATGACCCAGAATATCTCTTTCTGCCACAGTTGGATGGTAACTTTCATTTGATACTTTTGTGATAGTGATATAATATTTATTGACATAGAATTTGAAAAAATACTTACAGATATGTGTATATATGTGTGTGTATGCATACATATATACGTATAATATTGTTGTTCAGTCACTCCATCGTGTTCAGCTCTTTGAGACCCTATGCACTACAACACACCTGCCTTCCCTGTCCTTCACTCTTGCCTGGAATTTGCTCAAACTCATGTCCATTGTGGGCTTCCCTGGGGGCTCAGATTGTAAAGAATCCTCCTCTGATGCAGGAGACCTGGGTTTGATCCTGGATTGGGAAGATCCCCTGGAGCAGGGAATGGCGAGCTGTTCCAGTGTTCTTGCCTGGAGAATTCCATGGACAGAGGAGCCTGGTGGGCTATAGTCCATGGGGTTGCAAAGAATTTCACACAACTAGGCAACTAACACTTTCACTTTCATGTCCATTGAGACAGTGATGTCATCCAACACCAGGCTTCCCTGTCCATCACCGACTCCCAGAGTTTGCTCAAGCTCATGTTATCGAGTCAGTGACACCATCCAACCATCTCATCCTCTGTTGTTCCCTTTTCCTCCCGCCATCAATCTTTCCCAGCATCAGGGTCTTTTCCAGTGAGTCAGCTCTTCACATCAGGTGGCCAAAGTACTGGAGCTTCAGCTTCAGCATCAGTCCTTCCAATGAATATTCATGACTGATTTCCTTTAGGGTTGACTGGTTTGATCTTCTTGCAGTCCAAGGGACTCTCAAGACAACACCACAGTTCAAAAGCATCAATTCGTTGGTGCTGAACTTTCTTTATAGTCCAACTCTCACATCCGTACATGACTATTGGAAAAACCATAGGCTTAATATATATTAAAGTAGGAAATTGTTGAAAAGGAAGCAAGTAAGTAGGACTGTGTAGTTAAGTATAGCAGGAATCTCACCAGTTCTAAATTAAATCCTGATTTTTTCCTGTCTTGTATTTATCTGATCTGGTTCATTACTCATTCATAAGGAACACTACCAGGTTGTATATTTGCCTGTTCACACTTAGTACCCTCTACGTCCACCACTCACAAAACCCAAGCTGACCGCTGTTTATACCTGGTTTGTAGCCTGGTCCCTTTGGTTTAGGGTCAGTCCATCCTGGTCTTCTCTTCAAGTCTCTGTTCTCCTTTCTTTTATTTTATGTACTTATTTGTGTTTCTTTAGCTTTGGAGACCAAGAGCTCACAAACTAGTACTCCTAGAATAGTTCAGTCCTCTAACTTCTAACTAAGTATTCTTTACAGTTTGTCACCCTCAAGGGAAAAAAAGTTGGTTCTTAGGGAGCAAAATTGTCTTTCCTTATAATCTTTTTGTGTAAAGCATAGTTGTACATGCAGTTCAGAGACAGATGTATAGTATATGTATCATTTTTAAGTTTCATGTTCACAAATGATTAGGAAAAACATGCCTGAAAAACTTAGCTATAATGAAAAAATAGGTTAAGAAATAAAATATAATGAAAGATTGTGCTACACTTACGTACATCTCCATCCTTTCCCAATGTCTACACTTAGATGTTACTCAGAAGCTTCAAGCTCCCTAGTCCCAAACTGAAGCAATCCTTTCCCTCTGCCCCGCCCAGGCCTTTGTCCTCGGCCTCCTGGTTCAGCGGAGGTGAATGGTGTCAAGTAAGGGTCTGCGCCCACCTTGTTTCCTTATCTCATGCCGAAGGCGTAACTGCCGCGCAGTCTGTTTTGTTTCACTGCCTGGATTATTACTGCAGCTTTAAAAATCATTCTTCTGCTCTGTGCTTACCCTTGCTCTAATCTTTCATCCACATTGTGCTAGGAGGATCTTTCTAAAATGTATGCCTGATTATCTCTCATCTAGTTAGAAACCTCCCCGTTCTTAGGGATCAGAATTCTTCATCCACAGAATGGTCTGCCTTTCTTTTAACTTTCTGGCTTTTTCCTTCTCAGATTTCTGTCTACTCTGCTCCCTCTCCCCAGCACACACTTTGCTCTGAGTCGCTCAGCCGCCTCCCCAGTGCCACTCCCTCCTCATTGCTGGCCTCATTCAGATGCTCTGATGCTGCGCCTTTGAGGGTTTCCCGTGCCTCTGCCGCCCCGTGCCACTTCCTGTCTGCTGCCGTCCAGCTCAGGTACCCTGTCCTCCTAGGCATACTGTGTGGTTATCTTCACCATACTCTTCATCACACAGGAAGAAGTGTATACATTTTCCTTTTTTTTTACACTAAATGGCTTCCTGAGGAACGACTGATTTGTGGTTGCCTCTCCAACTCCTGTAGTATCTAGCAGGCATTCTATAAATATGTGCCGAATGAAAAAGGGAACAAGTGTGTGAGGCTGTTCTAAGTGCTGATATTACATAGATTCTTAGGTTATCCTGCTTTCCTGAGCATTTTACCATATATTTTCCCCCCGTGAAATATTGCATACTAGATTGAATTAAGCTTATTACTTCTTTACGGGAAATATTAATGATTTAGACCAAAGAACAATATATGATAAGTAGCTTTTCAAGTGTTTAAACATTGGCTTTTCAAAAACAGCATTAACTAGTTTTAGAACTGATTTATTTCTTATCTGTAAAAAACAGGATTAACATTATTTAAATAAAAAGATTATCAAAGTATTTTTGATTGTCTGTATTTTTTTCTCCCTCTCATTCTGTTTAGCTAAAGGACACAAAATCAGCAGATCAGAAAACAACACTTCTTCATTTTCTTGTGGAAGTATGTGAAGAAAAGCATCCTGATATCCTGAATTTTGTGGATGATTTGGGACATTTGGACAAAGCTAGTAAAGGTTTGTGCTTTTGTAGAAAACATTTTCATATTCTGGGTCTTAAGTTGGTATAGAAAATAATGCTTTTTATTTGAACGTACTTGCCTCTTTGTCACAGTGTTTTCATACTGAATGCCTCATTTTAAAATTAGAAAGGTACAGGACATTTACTTTATGAATTGCCATTTCTGCAGCCACAGGTTTAGTTTGTTTGATTGGGTAATGAGACCCTCTGTTCGGAAGCTCGGAGCTCTGCAGTCTCAGCCCCGTGAACACCTGCAGTCCGCCTCTGCTGAGCGCCGCACTGTGGCCTGCACTGTGCTCCCTGGACGGGTGTCGTTCCCAGATACCTGGGATGAGTGTAGTCAGTGTCGCCTTGGCCTGAATCTGAGTCTCCATCCACCTGCCTTGCAGGTGGAGTGTGCTTCCTTTGCCCCAGCAGGTGCCAAACTCCCCGAGATTCCAGTCACTCCCCCCTAAGCCCCAGTGTCTAACCTCCGCATCCCCACTGTGGGTTTACATCTGCTTATAGAAAGGGTCAGAGAAAGGATAGGCCCTATCGATATTATATATATTTGCCTTGAATATGACTTAGGCGATGTTTTGATCATCTGAGGAATCTCGGTTGTATATCAAATCAGTTCTGTGGGAAAAAACTTTACTTGACTCAAAAATGAATTTATGAGTACACATGTGTATGAATATGTACAAATGTATGGAATACATTTTGGAAGATACCTCATTTGGACCGGGAGAATATCTGTATTCTTTAGGTGTAGGCCACTGGTTATTTATCAACTTAAAGAAGGATACTTTTTCCTGTATTATAGTGAATATTTCTTTTGAAAATCACTTTTATCATTTTATACTCCTATGAAACTATTTCTTCTGTAAAGTAGGGTTGGTAGCACTTCTTTTGCAGAGAGGCATGTGACTGCATGAGAAATTCTTTCACATTTTTTCCTGAGATACATGTTTCTTTCAAATGTGTATCTCCTACAGCTGTTGCAAAAAAAAAAAAGTTGGAAACAATCTTTTTTTAAGACATAAAGTAAACTTTGAAACTTTTCTCTCTTGCAGTCTAATGTTCTAATGACATTGGATTACTCCTTAGTTTGCACTTGTGCTTCCATAAAATGTTCTTGGCTAAGAAGATAATGTCCATATGTATAGGTGTAAATGTTTTAAGGTAATTTAAGAAGGGAAAATAATCCAAATAATTTTCTCATAATAAGCAATGTGAGATTGAGCAAAGAGCACAGAGAAGAAAAGAAAAGCATTAAAAAAGACTCACTGATACTCAGAATAGCTTTTCAGTGATTAAGTTCATTAATTCAAGGATGATAATGTCCTTAAAACGAATTTTCTGAAATTTTGGAATAAAATTTGAGTGTACTGGATGAAAAAGAATTGAAAGTGGGTTTTCTTGATGGACGTTAAGCTTGATAAGTAACAGATGAAAAAGTGTTACCAAGTGCCTTGAAATATGGAGGAATTTCTTTTTCTGGGGAAAAGATGGTTGAGTAGTTATTATAACAGCTTATACCAGCATTATGTCTTTAAAAAGAATTAAATCAGTGTGGGCCTTTTCTGATAATAGCAGTTTGGATTTCTGATCACTTCACCATCTTTCATGCTAGTTCTAAAACCGAACAGTAAGCTGGAATATGCTTCTCTTTCAGATGTCCTTTTTAAAAAATAAAGTTTTGCTGACGTCTCTATTGGGGTTGCGCTGGGTCTCCTTCGCTGCGCCTGGGCTTGCGCTGGTTGTGGTAGGCTGGGACTGCTCCTGGTCGCAGTGTGCGGGCCTCTCCCTGAGGTGCCTTCTCTTGTTGTGGAACACAGGCTCCAGGTGCAGGCTTCAGTGCCCCTGAGGCATGTGGAACTCTCCCAGAACAGAATCGAACCCGTGTCCCCTGCATTGACAGGCTGATTCTTATCCACTGTGCCACCATGGGAGTTCTCAGATGTATTTTTTATTGTAGAACGTATTTTCTAACAGTTTTTGCTATGAATGAAGTTTTCAAAATGTCATTTATCTATTTTGACTCATTTGATTGTGCTAAAGATCCAATACAAATATAAATATTATATTTTGCTTTTGAGAAATGTTTTACTTTCATAAGCGTGCTTGCAGAGTAGCAACTTGGTAATGAGATTCTTCTTTCTTTTTCAGTGCTTCTAAGGGGGCATTCTGGGGCCTTGGAGGTTTTAGTTTCCATCTGTTACTGTAGAGGCATGCATATGTGTATGGGTCAGCAGATACCCTGAATGAGTTTCACAGGGAGCAGCTAACTTCATATTTGAAATAGAAAAGCCATCACTGAGAGAACTTTTTTATAGTGTAGGTGATTGTTGAGCCTAATTTCTTTTTATGATTGTATTACCTTATTAATGGATGAGATTTTAGAGGAACAAATATAATGTTTTAGATGAAATAAGTCTATGTTTGCTTTGGAGAGTTTCAGTGCTCTTGTATTTTATATCACCATTTGAAAGTTTGCAGATTTGAAGTCTCCTCAATGAGCTATCACCTGAATTAAAAAGTATCTTTGTTTTTGATACACAACAAATCCTGGCCATTAGGTACTCCTGGGTCAGCAGGGAGAACTTTCATTACAACTAATGAGCTTACCCGTATGACAATTTTCAAGAATCTATTTCATTAGGGCTGCTCCTCTGCTAAAAGGTAATGGGCTTACAGCTTTTCGTTGTATTTCATTGAAAATATTTTGGGTCATTATTGTATTTCTGTATACCTTTGTAATATTTTTTTCCTTTATGGATTCCTAAGGGTTGGATACATTTTCCTCTGGTCTAAACAGTTGAAATTAATGAACTCTAATCCATGATGGTTACTGATTATTTCACAGTAATTTCATCATTAAATTGGAATGGTGTTTTACTAATGATTTAGAAAATATGACCAAACTTTGGGGATTTGGGAATGTATTAAACTAATACCGAGGTAAATTTACAATTTCACCTTGTTGAACCCATGTCTTCCCTGGTGGCTCAGAGGGTGAAGAATCCGCCTGCAGTGCAGGAGCCCTGGGTTCCATCCCTGGGTAGGAAGGTCCCCTGGAGAAGGGAATGGCACCCACTCCAGTGCTGACAGGAGAAGTCCGTGGATGGAGGACCCTGGTGGGCTACCGCCCGTGGGGGCAGAGCCGGACTCGCCTGAGCGACCGACGCTGCGACTGCGGCTGCTGCTGCTGTAGGGGTTGCAGATGTTCCCACTCTTTGCTGGAGAGTTAAGCCTGAATTCCCGAGACGCCATGCTGACGTGCTCTGTGACCCACCTGCCCACTCATTTAACAAGCGCATGCTGTGTGACTGCTGTGCGGTCTGTCTGCTGCTGGTGCGCAGTGTGGTTTCTGGGTCTTGGCCCCAGCTACCTTACTCTCACCCGACTTCTGTCCATCTGACCTCTCCCTTTTCCTCTCACATATTTGACTTCTTCTGTATGCTTTTTCAGTAGTGCTGTTATTACTGGTCTGATACTGAGTCCTTCTCTTTTTTTTCTTCCTGTAGCTTCTCCTTAGGTGATCTCTTTATTCCCCAAGGGCTTAAATAGAATCATTAAATTAATGATTTATAAATTTTTTTCTAGACTTCCTTCTAAGCTCCACACTTGTATATCCAACAGCTTACTGTTCAATCTGCAGCTACGTTGAAGTGTATAGATCACCCTTTGCTGTAAGTGTGGCTCTTGATTATGACCTCCTTGCTGTCTCGTCTCCAAATTTGACTTACTCGAAAAAGTCTTTCTTGGCGCACTGTCTTCTGATTTCGTTTTTCTCATTCCCATGACTTTGCAGCCCCTAGCACCCCAGCTGAGAAAGCATGGTGGTTTCTGTGGGGACCGGTTGCTGGGCTGGGAAGGTCTCTCTCTCCTGTGTCGGGTTTACAGTGACTGTCCTTTCCCTTTGGTGCTTCTTCCTGGTGCTCGCTGGGAGCCTCACCTCAGTTTCTGTGTATTCCAGTCTGTATTTAAGGGTAAATTTTTAGATTTTCCAGAAAGTCTTAGACCACCGTTTAAGGACTACTACTCTGTGTTAGACACTATTCCTGCAACTGCTGAGAAAGGAAGTAGCTTCCCGAGAGAGGGCAATATTCAGTGTATTTTCAGAGTGGTTTGCCTGCTTTTTTTTTTTTTTTTTAACTTTTTCCATTTCTACAGTTTCAGCTTTCAGGAGCATTATTTGATCCTTTATATTTGAGGGGTTTTTTTGCTCCATTTTATAGACCTCCCTGCTTTTAAGACTGTTTGTTTGCTTTTAGCTAGTAATTCCTTGGTCTGACCCAAATATTTGTCTAGTCAAATACATCACCTGGTTTTCAATTCCTCATGACTTTCCAACATTTTATGATAAATGCCTTACTAAATACCGAATGTTTGTCTTTTGTTCACCTACTGTGAGCACTTAGAGTGCTTAATTTCCAGGTGGTTGCCACCTGGAAGTGCACAGTATTTGAAAATTTCTAATTCATCTGCTATAACAAGCAGAAAGCATTTTCAAAAGCTTCCATTAACCTCTTTATGCTATAGGCTTCCAAAAATGACAATTAAAAATGTATTACAAGTTGGATATGTATTTTAGATATTCAGTATTAGTTATTATTTCAGCTTCATTTATAGTTTAAGTGTATATTGTAAATATATAAAAATATTTATTGTGCAATAAAATTTGCAACACAGCTAACATAATTTTTGGAACCATTGTGTCATGAAGACTAACGTTGAAGTCTCATAGTTTTTCAGGATAAATAATTATTTTGGTGTTTCAGATCAACTGTAAAATACTAGAGTTTTATGAATATACACATGAATGTGTGTGTCCGCCAATACAATGAAATAATTTGATAGGACACATTGGCGGTGGAGCATTTATAATATAATTTAGTTAAAAGGGAAAACAACCATGTAGGATATGGCTTTAACTAAATTGTCAATAAAGAGCACAAAATATATTGTTATGGACTGAACTGTGTCCCCATATGTTGGAGCCCTTCATATG